GCGGTGATACGGGTCATGGAAACAAATCAGGAGAAGAAGTGAGAGACACGCTTGGTGAAGGGTTAGGGAGGTCAGAGAGGCCTCCTCCAGGATGTGACATTGGAGCCGAGACTGACTGGCCACTCAGAGCCTGAGGGGAGAGCTTGCCAGGAAGAGGGAAGGAACAGCCAGTGCAAAGGCCATGAGGCAGACGGAACGTGGGGAGGGGCTTGGAGATGCAGTCAGAGCCAGCACGGGGGAGATCGCAGGCGTCTGCAGCCTTGGCAACCACACATTCTCGGCCGGTGGAGCCTCGTGTCCAACAGCTGCGTCGATGACTGACACCCCAACCACATCTCTCGGTTGCCTCTTCCACCTTCACGGCACAGAGGTCCTTTGTCAGCTCCAGAGGGACGAGAACTGTCGAGACTCTAATCTGCACCTCCTTCGACCACCTCCTTCCCTCTTCGTGGCAAAGCCAGCCCAGGCCTTGAAGGACACTCTTGGCAAATTCACCTCTACTTCCCAGCCCTTAACGAAAAGGCTCTAGAGTGAGAGCACGTTGATTCAGCCACTCGCTAACTCTGGGCGAGTCACTACCTTGATTTCCTCATCTGTGAAAGAAGAGAAGCATCAGGTGGTAGCACGAATTGAACGGGGCGACGCCCAGAGCCTGGTGCCTTGCAAGCGCTGGTAAGGCTTAGTTACTGTCACAGCTGTTGGGTTGATTCAAATACAGCTGTTGGCCCGGCGTGCACGGGCCACGTAGAGGTTTACTGGGATTTGTCCCTGGAACCCGTTCCTCCTTCCATGAGTTATATCACTTAGACCTTTCCGTAGGCAGAGTAGCAAATTCACTCTGACAATTCAGATGGATGTTGCTTTCTCATAACAATAACAAAAATAACCACAGCTAACATGTATCTGCGTCTATGGCGTGCCAGGCTCTGTGCTAATGCTTACACAGCTAATTCTTCATTTAACCCTCACAACATCCTATGAGGTGGGTGCTGCCATTGCCCCCCTGCAGAAGATGAAAGCAAACCTCCGAGGAATGAGGTGGCCCGTCCCGGGCCATACAGGTGGGAATAGTAGAGCTGGGATTTGAACCCAAGTCATGCGGCACCAGAGCCTGCCCTCTTAGGCAGGACGCTTAATCTTCAAGGCAACAAGCGTCTCATGAGTAGGTGCTGCGTTTCAGACTACGTTAGGAGCAGAGGCACAGATATGTGTAGTAGAATGGCTAATTATAGTATTATGGGTGTAGTACAAATTATATGTGTAGCAGTAATGTCTCTGGGTTGAATCGTGTCCCCCCAGATTTCATGTCATTCCAGAACCTGTGAACGTGACTTTATTTGGAAATAGGGTCTTTTCAGACGTAATCAAGTGGAGATGAGGTCATACTGGATTAAGGTGGGCCTTAACGCCAATGACTGGTGTCCTTACAAGAAGAGGGAGGTTTAGACACACACGCAGGGAGGTATGTGAACTGTGGAGGTGGACGGTGCAGGGCTGAGGCTGCAAACCAAGGGCTGCTGGCAGAGTCACCGGAAACAGGAGAGACGCCTGGAACGACTCCCCTCCGGAGCCTCCAGCAGGACCAGCCCCGCCCGTGCCTCGGTTTAGTACTTCCCGCCTCTCAACTCTGAGAGGATAAATATGACTAGTGGCCTATCTGAGGCCACTAATTTTTCTTATAAGTCTAGTTGATTGACTACATTGTGCTAGTTTCAGGTGTACAGCAAAATGATTCAGTTATACATATATATATTCTTTTTCATATTCTTTTCCATCAGGGTTTATCCCAGGATATTGAATACAGTTCCCTGTGCTCTACAGTAGGAACTTGCTGTTTATCCATCCTATATATAATAGTTTGCATCTGCTCATCCCAACTCCAAATCCATCCCTCCCCCACCTCCCCTCCCCCTTGGCAACCACAAGTCTGTTCTCTACGTCTGTGAGTCTGTTCATAAGTTCATTTGTGTCATATTTTCGATCCCACATGTAAGTGCCGCATATGGTATTTGTCTTTCTCTGTCTGGCTTACTTCACTTAGTACGATCATCTCTAGGTCCACCCATGTTGCTGCAAATGGCACTATTTCATTCTTTTTTTTTTTCCCCCACACGTGGGAACTAAGATCCCACATGTGCAGCATGTGGGATCTTAGTTCCCCGACAAGGGATCGGACCCGCACCCCCTGCAGTGGGAGCGTGGAATCTTAACCACTGGACCGCTAGGGAAGTCCCAATATTTCATTCTTTTTCACACAGGCCACCTAATCTGTAGTAATTTGCTGCGGCAGCCGAGCACACTAATAAAAGGGAGACAATAGAAAAGATAGTTTCTCAAGTCACCCTTAGCCCCTGTTTGGCAATAAGCGTTCTTTCTGAAAGTCATGGTTCCCCACTGGCGGTGAGTAGGCAGGGAAAAGCCCGTGATGAATCAATCCCTGGCCTCACAGGAAGCTTGCTTTCCTGTCAACAAAGCACAGAGTGAAAAGCCGTCAACCTTGGGCCAGAGGGCTGTCTGCCTGGCCACTGTCACAAGGCTCCGATGGAGAGAATATTTTCATCCAAGGAAGGATGAGCAGAGCCCACCCAGCTGTATTTGCCTCTGGTCCCCGAGATGCCCCTTCCGCTCAGGCGGACAGCGTGCCGGTGGGGACAGCTCATAAGAAGAACCCCAAGGCTCACAAGTCTCGGTTTAAATAATGGGCCAGATATTTCCCCACAAACCCTCGACACGAAAAGCAGAAGTTCTTGAGCACTTGGCAACCCAGTTCCCTTTGAGGATCTGTCAAATGCTCTGCATTGACTCTCAACCCGAGGGAGGAAAAAAAAAATCTGACATGCAAAATTTGGGGTGACATTTCAAAGCACCCTGAACTCCTGAAGCCCATTTACTGATGAACAAATACTTCTGAATGGCCCACTAGGTGCCGGGCACCGTGTTCGGAATACAAGGGTGGAAGAAGAGACAAGGCATTTTTCTTCCTGAAGCCCAGAGCTAGAAGGGCAGTGTATACTTTCCTGTGGCTGCCATAACAAACTACCAGAAGCTGGGTGGCTTACAAGGATAGAAATGTATTCTCTCACAATTCAGGAGGTGAGAAGTCTGAAACCAAGATGGCAGCAGGGTTGGTTCCTTCCGGAGGCTCAGAGGAAGAGTCCGTTCCAGGCCTCCCTCCAGCTCCTGGTGGTGTCTTTGGCTTGCAGGCACATCACCTTCTCTGCTGCATGTCCCTCTGTGTCCCCTCCTCCTTTTACAAGGACACCGGTCGTTGGATTTAGGACCACTCTAAACCAAGTAGGATATCACAGAGGTCTTTAACTAATGACATTTGCAAGGACCCTATTTCTAAATAAGGTCATGTTCTGAGGCTCTGCGTAGACATGAATTTGGGGGTGACGCTATTGAACCCAACACAGGTGGTTACGCAGTCACCATGGAGAGCAGCAAAGGTATACCTGAGGCATCCAGGAAAGGGTTCCTGAGGACCTCCTGTGGAATTAGGAACCAGATGGTGAGTAGAAACTAAAACAGGAGTAGCGGAAAGTGCATCAAGAAGAACTAATCACTATACGTATCAACGCGATAGATAACCACCAAGGACCTACTGTACAGCACAGGGAACTCTGCTCAACATTCTGTAAGAACCTGTGCAGGAAAAGAATCTGAAAAAGAATGGGTATACATATAACTGAATCAGTTTGCTGCACACCTGAAATTAACACCACATTGTAAATCAACTATACTCTAATATAAAATAAAAATTAAATTTAAAGAAGAAGAAGAACTAATCACATAGGTGAGGCCCAAACAGACGGAGGCAACAGCTGAAGAAGCGTTCAGACAGGCGGGGCCGTGCAGAGGACGGTGCGGAGGGTGGGCCGGGCTTGAACACTGCTCTTCGGAGTTTGGATTTTGTTCTTAGGGTCACCAAATGCCTTTGAAGGATTGGAAGCAGAGAAGTGCTTCTAGAAAGTTCACCTTGGCTGAGGTGAGGAGGATGGATTGGAGAGGGTGAGACCGGACGCAGGGACACCAAGGGTCCCTATCTCAGGGGAAAGCTCCCAGCTTAAGGATGCAAGTGGCTGAAACTCCAGAGACACCCCATGTGTTGTCCTAACAGCCGGTTGGGATGATTCCCACGGAGCCAACAGGAGGGGTTTAACCCAGGCAGGTGGGATCTGAGCGGGCCAGTCAGATCAACGTCAGCCCCAGAAGAAAACCGATCTAAAATATTCATAAAACTTCGGCCAGTTCAGATATACACCCCCTCCCCTTTTGTGGTCCCTTAGCGTTAAGTGCACCTTAAATGGACCAGTAAGTCCTGTCCGCTCACAGATAAGTAAGTCCTTTGGCCTTCATGTGCCCCACTGACTTTCAGTCACTCTTCAAGGGCACCTTCTCCCTTCAACCCCCAGGCTGGGGTCCACACCCTCCCCACAGACTCCAAAAATTCCTGATGCAGCCTCTCGGACTCGACTGTAATCTGTACTTTCCTTTCAACCTGTCTCCACTACGAGAGCTTGAGGGCAAGGATTGTTATTTGTTCACCTTTGTGTTCCCAGCTCCTAATACACACACACACACACACACACACACACACACACACACACACACACA